GGAAAAGGAGCTGGATAAGCTGAGGTCCTAACGGAGGAGGAAGAAGAACTGCTTTGGGAAAAGGGGTTACTGGGAGATGCTACACCACAGAGTTCATTAGACACTATGGTGTTCTATAACAGCCTTTGTTCGCACTACGTAGTGGGAAAGAACACTTCCAACTTCGGTCAGAGCCGTGCCAGATTAGCATCATTGAGCCAACTGGGGAGCGAGTCTATCTTGTATGTGATGTTTCCAAGAATAGGCCTGGTGGGATTAAGGGGAAAAGGGTGAAGCCCAAAGTTGTAGTGCATCATGCCAATACCACCAATCCTGATCGCTGTTTTGTTCGGCTTTTCGAAAGATGGAAAAGCTTACACCCACTGATGGGCCAGCTGATTCTTCTACCTCCAACCCCCTACTCAGGCGTGTAAAAGGCCATTGGGGGTACCACACTCTCAGCAATAGTGTTCGACTGTGCAAACAGGCTGGGATAAAGGGTTACAAGACTAACCACTCCCTCGGGCTACAACAGCTACCCGACGTATGAGTCAGGAGTGGAAGCTTAGACGGTGTTCGAAGCTACAAGCGTACAAGTGACACACAAAGAGAAGACATACTCAACAGAAAAACACCCCGATTAGAGCAGCCCCACCCTCCTGCACTGAGTCAAAAGACACTGGAAGGCCTGGGAATCACAGGTATGTGAATGTATTACAACTATTGTCCTTCAGCTATTGTTTATGATTCTGTAGTGCATTCCTTTGTGGAAATGACCAGATATCTAATAACAAATAAGGAAGGCCTCTCATCTTGAGCGAAAGGGGTCTGTTGGAGAACTATTTTGGGAAGCAGAGGACACGAGGCGGACGCAATGAAAATCCTACAGTGCCTAGTTAATGCAGCAGCATTGCGTGGCAAGGGTCACTGCACTTGACCCGTAAGGGGTAACTGTTGGAGAAAGCGCCAAATGGAGATTGATGAATCTGCTATAATTGACAGTGCACCTTTACCCATGAGAAAACGTTCAGTTGTACCTATTATCTGAAAAATTTGTTCATGAGTGTATAATAAATTTTTTATGACATTTGTTGCTTGCTTGTATGTTTCCATCCCAAGATGCAGCGATAAAGAATCCTCTGTTACCCATAGTTACAAAGTTTCGTGTAGGAGTTCTTAAGCCTCTTCTGAGTCAATAGCAATTGACAAAAATGTCCATTTGAACTGCACTTCATCATAACCCACAATAGCCTTAGTCACTTCTTTCACGCTATCGCCTTTTACCATGTGTTTGGGTAGAATGACAGGGACGAGTCAGTCCACCTCTGTTTACTGTTTCAGAGTGGTTTATAATTTGTTTGGACATCATTTCCAACCAAAGCAAATTTTTGTTTGGATACTGCTGATATATAACATTTAGGGCCCTTGCGTTTAAAACATCATAGTATATATAACAGTGAGTAGACTAGTCACACACAATGAATGAAACCAAAACTGAAAATACTTGAAACAGTCATCCCATTCAGTAAGCAGATCTTCTCCTGTGTATACACAGTAGTTTAGTTACGACTTTTTTCTGGGACTCACTTGCATCTCGCAGTCCAACCAGCTCATAGTGCTACAGTCACGATCAAGATCGCGCTTCCACGTCGTGTATGTAGCATGAGAACCTTCCTTCTCTTTGTTTTGGGGGTGCAGTCACTTGCACTGGGACCGCTAGTTTCAGTGTAGGTGGTTTTGCTGGAAGACATGGTGAATAAAAGTGGCAGAGACGCGAGCAGTGAGAGCCTGGAGGCAGACAATCGATGTCACCCGATTCTCTGTCCACGTGACGTGGCTTTTTTAAATGTGCATGCGCAGTACACGAGTAGAGCTAGAGCTGAGTTAGCTGCACGAACGCAATGACCGGCCGTTCTTAACTACACTGTGCAGGGAGAGGGCCGAGGTAGGGAGGTGGTGCAGGAGGATGATGCAGACTGGCAGGGATCGAAGGGCGACCCCGCTGTTTGCGGCTGTTGTAGCTGTCGACAAGCTGTTCGGCAAGCCGCAAGCGAAAGGCTTGAACCGCTGGTGACTGTTGTGGGTGAGAATAAAATGAGTTGAGCAACATCAAACAAAAAGGCAAAAATTTACTTGTAGTTTTTGCGACACTTGGTTCGGACACGGTAGTACTGTCGGTATTGATCTCCTCACCCGCCATGTACCGACTACCGTGTCAGGACACTGCACAGAGGCCCTTGTACCATCCCTTTGCTTTCTCTGTGCAGTGTGTGTGACGTCTGTGTGACGTCTGCCTGGGCGAGTGTGAAGAGCAACGTGACAGGCTTCTTATCCATCCAGACAGTCGCCACGAGGTCTCCCTGCTGGCAGAAAATGTGTCCCCCCCTCTCCAGGGACACATTCTTCAGCGTCTCTTTGGAAACCCACGCCTGGTGGAACGGGTTGTTCCACACCCATACAGCCTGCGAGACTGGAGAGTGTCAAGGAGGTGAGTCGTGGTGAAGTAGTTGTCCGCAAAGATCTGGTAGTTCTTTCCAGTCAAACACTCCGTCAACTGCAGGACAACTCTCTCACCAAGACCCTCCTCCGTTTGAGTACCCCCTGCTGGTCTGCCGACGAAAATGTCGCAGTCACAGAAATACCCCGTGACGGAGTCTACTCGTACCCAGATCTTAATCCCCCGCTTCACCGGCCTCATGGGGAGATATTGCTTCATTGTTGACCTGCCTGTTGGAGTACAAGGTACATATAAACAATATTGTACATATAAACAATGTTGTGTACATACACACTTCATACCTTTGAAGGGAATCATTGCCTCATCCATGACGTTTTGGGGGTATGGGCTATAATTTGCGACAAATGCTGCCTTCATTGCAGTAATGATAGGCATTACTTTCTGTAGGCGATGGAACCCAGGATCATCGTAATGATTGGCATTACTTTCTGTAGGCGATGGAACCCAGGATCATCCCTCGCAGGCAGTGTGTCGTTGTCAACAAAAATGAAGATATCTCGTGATAGCTCCTCGAAGCATTGGCGGGTGATCCGAGACGAGATGAAGGTGTTGTTCATAATAGGGTCTGTTGACAGGTAGTCTCGGAGCTCAGGGAGTCATTCCCATGACAACAACCATGAACCCCAGGTACGCCCGTATTTCTTCGATGTCAGTCTCCCATGTGGTGTTGCTGTTGGTGTCAGCCAGATACTTCGAGGCATTGGTACACTGACGTTCCATGATAAGAGTTCATCGAAACAGAAATTACAAGTTAGTAAGCGATAACAAAAAGCCTCAGGCAATGAATACTTGTAACTGATGTTTGTGCCTATAACTTGCTTATTGTGGATCCTGTAACAATGAAACTTGGTACACTGATGTACCATGGTGAGAGTTCATCGAAATAGAAATTACAAGTTTGTAAACAACAACAAACAGTCTCAGGCAATAAAATGATGTTTGTGCCTATAACTTACTTATTGTGGGTCCTCTAACAACGAAACTTGGTACACTGATTTACAACGATGAAAGTTCATCGAAACAAGTTTGTAAACAACAACAAATAGCCTCCGGCAATAAATACTTGTAAATGATGTTTGTGCCTGTAACTTGCTTATTGTGGGTCCTCTAACAACGAAACTTGGTACACTGATTTACAACGATGAGAGTTCATCGAAACATGAATTACAAGTTTGTAAATAACAACAAACAGCCTCAGGCAATTAAGTGCTGTTTTTCCTTTTGGAAGTAAATAAACATGTAGATGACGACTAAGAGCATGCCGAAAAAAAAGGAAAGGAGACAAGTAATTCAAAAAGTATGGAATATAGGGATGTCATAAAAAGCAAGGAGAAAAGACAGCCATGTGATGCAGTAGTACTGTGGGATGATTGTTACATCTTCTAACTGACATTTCTTGCTCATGTAAATTTTAATCCACACAAGCCCTATATTGTCGCAAAGCACGAGTGATCTGTATCGTATGATGTGCAGCTAGACTCGTTTCCTATGCACGTAAGACTGGTAGCAAATGCCCTCTCTGACAGGTCCTCAAATTGAATCGTGACAGTGTTTACTTCAATGTTTGCTCAACTAACCGGTTTGACAATGCTGCTTTCCCTACAGAATTCGTTTGCCAGTCTTCACACTATACAAAACTCGTAAAAGTGGCGACAATATTATAGGGCTTGTGTGGATTAAAAATTTACATGAGACGTAACAATCATCCCACAGTACTACTGCATCACATGCCCAGGTCATCCCTGTCTTGTCTCCTATATTCCACACTTTTTTAAATTCAAATTTTTTATGATTCTACTGCATACTGAGTGTGTTGTAGTACCACACTTCCGAACCGTGAGCGTGCTCGCATGCGTATGTATATACAATCCACGTGGTGCAGAAGATCGCGTGCACGCGGTGAAGCGCGTTGACCTGTAGTTTGGAAGGCTCAGCTTTTTCTCTGGTCGTGTGTTCAGTCAGTCGTCGAGAGGTGAAAGACTCTCAACAAGGGAGCAAGGCGCAGCCGTTTTGCCATGGATGTAAGTGTTGCCACTCGTCGATATGACAGCGCGCTTCCTAAAGTTGGTTAGTGTTTAAGTTAACCGACCGTGTATTGTTGCATTGGTGACCAAGAGCCTTTGCAATTGAAGCAGAGACCCATAACGCACATCTTGTTTTTTCACACCTAGTAATTGTATACTTACGTACCTTCTACTGCTGAGTGTGCATGCCAAACAACCCATCGCCTAGTAATAAAAAATCCTGCGGATTAAAAAAAGAGTGCATATAGGGATCGTATAAAAAGAAAGGGAAACAAGAGGAAGCACTAGCGAGGAGTTAGGACTCCCACAGGTCATTACAACAGCCCTATATCGTCGTATCGGTGCTTTACTACTTCCTCGTGAATATATCAGCCAACCTTGCATACTTGAATTTTGTTTTCTTGCGTTACACAATTTTTGGTCAGCTGATTACAGTTCCACCTAAATGCGCACTCCATGGAATGACAAATCTATCAAAGGTAATTAATAAGTACTTTAGCAATATTCTACAGACTCTCTCATCACTCCCACCATACGAAGAAGATTGAAAACGTTCCCTATCATAGCCCCATACATCTATGATGCTAGGTACTCCCACCGTACGACGATATAGGGCTGTTGTAATGACCTGTGGGAGTCCTAACTCCTCGCTAGCATCTGTGTGCTTCCACAAACACCATCCCTATCTTGTCTCCCTTTCTTTTTATACGATCCCTATATGCACTCTTTTTTTAATCCGCAGGATTTTTTATTTACTTGTCTCTATATGCCTGAGCTCTTATCACAGAGCTTGTTGTGTCTTTGTGCATCCTGGTTGGTGCTAGGGGGGGCATAGGGGGTGGTCCCGGTTGGTGCGAGGCTGCGAGGGGACCCGGCCCCTGCTCGTCCGGCCACCCGGGGCCGCATGCCGATTGGGGCAGAGGAGGGCCGCATGTGGCCCCGAACAGTCGGCACACACGTGTAGGAACCTGCACCTGGTGTGTATCGACCCACCGGCTAGTATTGAAATTTCTGGCAGACCTCCTGCTGGCCAGCTGGCCTGGGAGTAGGGAAGCTGGGCCCGACAGTAGTTGCGGGTTCGAGGGGCCCGAACTGCAACTGTGGGGGTCCCTGTATAACCAACCCACGATTGGTGGGTTCGGGTTATGGAGGACAGGCGGCTGCCATATGGTCCTCCGAGAGAGACAGTGTGGGCACGGCAGGTGCCTTTTGGCTCTACCTGTGAAGTGCCTCGCTATAAAGTCTTGCATTGGGGGACCGACCAGTTGAGGTCTTTCTTTGCGAGCATCTCACGGCGGTAAAGCCGGTCGTAGGCCAACCCAGTTAGCGCCCTCATAGGCCGTGGGCTGCATGCAGAATTGTTGTCTGGTAAGCCCAGAGCTCTGCGCTTCGCTTTCTCGGGAACCGTGACGTTCATTACCGCCGCCATACGTGCGTAGCACTCCAGCCACGTGTGGATGTTCGTCAAGGGTGGCTGCCCGGGCGCCGTGTGGCCCACCCTTCGGTTGGTGCTGGTCGTCTGGCCATATGTCGGCCACCGTAGTTTATTCACTTCAACGAACTACCAGGAGAGGAGCTTCTTCCACCTTTGGCGGCAAGGTGGTGCGGGGGTGTGTAGGCCCCAGTGCGTGGAGTTGAGCGGGACTCGCTGGTGCGGGCTGCAACCCCTCAATACATGGTTCAAGCGGCTCGGCCAGTACGTCTAGCCCGGAGTTGCGGCCCCCGCTGGTGTAAAGGTAGGTATATTGGGGCATGCTGGGCGGGGGCGTGGCATGGCCCTAGCGTGCGTGGTCTCCTGCAGCTGCTGGCAGGTGAGCACATGCGTGTTGCCCGGTGCTGCCTGCGGGCCGGGAAAGAGTCGAGCGGCCGCGGGCCGAGTGCGGCAACACCGCCCGCTCGTTGGCTAGGAGCACGCGTCAGTAGCTCCGCGGTGGGTCCGGACCACCCGAGTACTAACATACGCAGCGCGCGGTGGCATAAACTTACTGCTGTCTCTGACGGAGGAGGGCGGATCCCGGGCGGTGATCCGCCGACGATGACGACGTCCGTCTGATGTGCTGGGAATGCGGTGACTCCGGTAGAGGCGCCGTTGGCCCGCCAGAGGCCTGGTTGAGCGATCATCTCCCTGATGATCGCAGTTGCGACTGGGTGGATGCTCTAGAAGGATCCGCGGGGGTGTGCGTTCGTCGGTTTCGCCGGGTCGCCGCTACTGGTCGACATGAGTCGGTACGAAGAAGAAACGAGTATGCTTGAAACTGCGTCTAAGTGCACAGACCGTCTCTCCGCTAACCCGCTTTGCCCGCGCGTGCGTGCCGCACTGGGCTCCTCCTTCGTTCCACTACATCGAACATCAATAGGGACCGTTTGTGACCGTCCACGCGAAAAAGCTGTATACGTCAAAACAGCGGGTACGCACGATCAGTATTTTTTAAGAGAAGAACCTCACAACATACTTAGAGCGTCGAACTCGCCTCGCCAGGGCCGTGGCGGCGCCTCGAAGTAGGCTACGTCGATCTCCAGCCGTAAACGGGCGCTATAAAAAACAACACTGACTAACGAGGAGCTAGGGTCCCAACGATGCTAAACGCTTAACTGCTACCTTCGTTGGCCTGTCTTCTTCGTTTCCTGAGAGATAGCCGCCTCCACAACGTGCTGCGAGCGGTTTTAGGGGGCGTGTTAACGCACGACGTGTAACGGAGCGCGTATGCGGCAAAATTTTTCCACGTACCAGTTTCTCGAGTACAAAAGCAGCTATATCTCCAGAATGGAACGGGTCATCCGCACTAAATTTTGAACGAGCACAGCAAAAGGGTAGAAAACGCGGAATCCAGTGAAATGTCGAAAAATATTTTTGCCGGCTCATACCTCTTTTTCGCGTGGACATTTGGTACTCTCAGGAACCATTGGGGCATAACAAGTAAATAAAAAATCCTGCGATTTAAAAAAAAGAGGAATATAGAGATGGTAGATAATAGGGATGGGATACATGAAGCATGGTGAATGAACAGATTTGAGTACACTAACACCCCCAACCCCATCACACAATCCTTGAAGCTACACCTCTAGATAGAATGTGTGAGTCTATACTCACCCTTCATTGCAACTCTTGCTACCTCCGATGTACACAGCTCAAGCAGATCAGACCGAGATATATACATAAACCAGTTCAAATTTGCACATTGGCTTTTTCGCTCGTGTTTCACACCGTAACTCGGAGTTTAACAGTAAACCATACATCCCATGCTGTATACGTGTACGCAAGGTTGTCGGTATGGCGTTGAAAAAGAGGAAAAGAGGTTGCGGATGCGCGCGGGCGAGGGCTAATAAAGGAATGGCATCTGGGAGTCTCTCACTCTCTAATTATCACAACCGTACTTACAACATATCTTTAAAAAATTATGTCGTGAACCGCTGGTATATATACAATGGTCAACCAAGAGAATCCCTCCTTCAGCCCACCCCACAACTAGACACACACCAACCGTGGTCATAAATTGAACTGCGTGTGCGTACGTACACCCTACCTTGGGGTGTGGCTATCAGCACATATGCTCCGCCTCCTCCACACTGTTCTCCCTTGGCGGCAGCGCGGCCATCGTTACACACGCCGAGCGAGCCTAGCCTGACCTCGCGTCCAGCTGGCCCATCTCCATCTTCCATGGACGACTTCATTCTGTGGGACAAACGGGAGGACTGTGACAGGTTTGGAGGATGACGATGCGCTACACGAAATTGCACTCACCTCTCGATGCTCCTGGTGCTAGTCTGCTGCCCTGCTGCTGAACTGGGGCCTGCATGCTAGCTCTATGATCCTCACTTCACTGTTTCCGAACCGCCTGGGCAGGCACACACGAGCACTCGCGCGCGCTGCATGCTTGATCATATCATCCTCGCGCTGTGGCCACGTGACGCGAGTATATGGTAGGCCTGCGCCAATTACGCTAGGCATAATAGCTAATCCTTGGATAATAGGAACTTCCCAGGATTCGCATAATTTGGGAATTTTCGGGAATTTTCGGTCCAATCTACGCATGCGCATATGCTTAGTGCATGAACACGGTGCACCGGGTGTACCCAAGCCTGCCATATAAACCGTGTATACAGAAATGGAGTATCCGGATCCCTCGACACTCTCCTCGTCGTCCGCGTCTCTATCTGCCAGCTCTGTTACACCCCGCTACTGATATATCGAGCGTCTGTTCTGGCAGTGGCGACTCATTCTCAGAACCTTCTTACTTTTGCCTCACTTGCGTGCTCCCAGGCCATCAGGACTGGCG